GACAACACACCACAGCAGCGGGCATGCTTTGGTGTTCCCACTCCACGGAACGACAAAGTCGGTGCTGGCCTTGCCGGATCTCACCGTCCTTCTGTCAGAAAGGAGGGGGGATTGTGTCGGGGTCCGGGATCGACGCTGCAGAGTCCGATTGGGTCCATCGCTCTGGCCTGTCTCGCTTGCGGCGCAGCCCCACACCGAGTCGCTTCGCTGCATCCATCGCGATGGCGGCGGAGCATCTCGCCGTGCGGGAGCGCATGGTCGACCGAGGCGCGCATGACGTAATCCATGACGCAATGTGCTGGCAACGCGCGTCCGTGGGTTGTGTTGTCGGTGCGAGACGTAACATTGGTATTCGCGCGCAGCTCGCTCGCGTTGTCAGGTTGCGCCGAAAGGGTCCTCTCTCTTCGCTTGCTCGCTCGCTCGCTCGCTCAAGGGTCCAAACCCTGCGTCAAGACAGAGACAGGCAGGCAGTCAGTTCGAATGCTCAGAACGAAAATCGCATTCGCATGCCAGACTGCGACGACGGCGGCGGTGCTACGTGTGCTGTGCATGCACTCGGTCGGCATGCAGTGGACCGGCGCGCTTGGTGCGCAGAGGGTGGTGCGAGTCGAATGCCTCCTCCGGGTCGGTATCGCTCTCGGCCTGCTCCTCGTCTTGGTCGTCGTCCGAATCCGCATCCGAGTCCGAGTCGGGCACAAGCTGCGGCGCGTACACCTTGACGAGTTCGAATCGTTCGTCCTCCTCGAGCGCCATGAGCGCATCCATACTCGCATCCTCGCTGTACGCCGAGGTGTCGGGCTGGACACCCAAAAAGCTGCAGAGGGCGTCGGTCAGCTGGCTGGGTCGCTTGACGCTGAGCAGGAACGGTGCGCGCGGGACCTTGTGTACGTGCACCAAGCGGGCATTGGGGAAGAGCGCGGCGATATCGTCGGCGACGTTGCGATCGTACGGCAAGTCGCGGTCGCCTTCGACTACGAGCAGATCGCAGCGGACGGCGCATCGGGCCGACTCGGGCATGGGCTTGCGCAGCCAGTACAGATCGAACCACCAGTCCCTCGCCGCTTCGAGTCCTTGGTGGTGCAGCACGAGTCGTTCGAGCCACGTTCGCGAGAGGTACGAGGCAATGTGCGCCGGGATCGTCTCGCTGCCCGCCCAGCGAAAGGTAAAGCCCTGGACCACCTCGCCGGGCAGCCTGACGTCGTTAGAGCGCTGCGAGTGTTGCTGGTGCCACGATTCGGTGAGAAGCTCCTTGATGCCTTGGAAGGACTCCACCATGAACGGAGATTCGAGCTCGAGGATGGGAGAGGTGATCATGATCGACGTGAAAGTGTCGGGCCATTGGGCTGCCATTCGAGCCGCGACGAGGCCGGACATGGAGCAGGCGAGGATGTGGATGCCCTTGGCCCAGCGGATCTCTCCTTCCTTGCCGTTGGCGGGTTGGTAGGGTGAGAGGAGGAGGCGGATAAAGGCGAGCACGTCGGCGGCCTTGATGTCCAGATCATACTTGCGCGTGCTTGGATCGCGGATGGGCACCTCGCGCGTGAGGCCGTGGCCGCGCGGGTCGACAGCGACGAGATTAAAGTGCGCCGACAACGTCGAGTCGCTCAGCTGGTCGGCGAAGAGGTGCGCCACGCTAAAGCACTCGGACGGCAGAAACAGCACAATCGGATAGCGAGCATCCAGCTTGACCTCGCGCTTCGAATCCGAAGCTGCCAGATTGGAAGACGAGCTGAGCGACGCGGCGAGTTTCGAGGCGTGCGTCTGCGCAGCAGCAAACGTGCGGCACTCGGGCGTCGAGACGAGGTAGTGCAGCACAATCGGATCGTCCGCATACCGCAGCTGCGAATCGTCGCTCGGCAGCGTGAGGAACGGCATCTCCGATACTCGCTCTCGTCCCAAAGTGGTGGTTCTGAGGGTGGGAATGTGACGTTGCAAGACGAGGCGAGCAGAGAACAGCGCAGGGCTATATATCGGCCTTGCCGCTCACCATCTCGCCACTGCAACCAAGGCAAACCAGAGCAAAGCGAGCAAGCACATGCGTTGTTGTCACTCGCAACGCCCGGTGGCTGCAGCGTGGAATTGGTGGCTTGGGAAGCGTGTGATTTTTGGCGCCTTGCCTGGTGGCTTGCAGTTGTCGACGTCTTCTTTTTTTGGGCGGAAATCCCGTGTCGGATGCTGCCGTCCCGTCCTCACTCGCTCCCACGCACCGGCACACCCGCACGCCCGCACACGCCATCTACAGTCACAATCGCAATCCGCAATCGCAAGCAACAGCATACACACAATCCTGCATTGACTCCCAAGCTCTGGAGAGAGAGAGAGAG